GGCCAATCCAGGTTCAATCCCCAGCACCCCATATGGTCCCCAAGGATTAACCCCTGAGCTTCCCTGGGTATGGCAAAAAAAAAAAAAGTTTTCCTCAAGTAGCCTAAATTCTGATTCCTCCTGAAAAATTACAAGTCCTCATTAAGTCTCCCCTTTAACAGTTTTGCTTTATTCTTTTGTTATTGTTTTACGTCCTTGCACATCTCAGACAGATTCATGGGACTCTGGGGCAGAAACCACGCCTTGGACATGCTGTATTCAACAATTCTGCTTTACTAGGCCTCTACTACTGCCTATGAGATGTCACCAATCTACTAATGAATATTCAAATTGAAAACTTTAAATTATAATACTAAGCTGTTGCTCCAGAGATAGAACAATTTTCTGAATGGATTTTTATACTGACACCTGATTGGCTTTGCTTTTTCAATGAGTCAAAACCAACCTTCATTTATTTGAGCTTCCAATTATACAATCTCCTCCTGAGTATTTTGTTTTCCCCATTTTTTTCTTGCTCACACACTTCTTACATTTGGAATACTACACTTCAAGATTTTTCAAAAAATTATCTGCACATTTTCTCCACAAAACTGAGAAAATCGGGGCTAGAGCAATAGTTTACAGCTGATAGGGAGTTTGCCTTGCATGCAGCTGACCCGAGTTAGATATCTATTATCCCTTATGGTTCCCAGAGACCTAGAGGTGTGATCCCTGAGCACCACCAGGTGTGGGGAAAAGAATTTGAGATTATGTAAACTCCAGATAGACAGTTGAGGCGGGAATATATTGATTACAGTCTTCCTGTTAACTAGCATTAACACTTGACAAGCACTCAACCAGTCCAACAGTGGAAGGATGGATGGATCTTGTTGGGTGGAAAGTATTATTCTCATTTTACAGTCGAGGAGGGAGATGATCAGTGGAAATACGGTGAATGAGTAGCAGAATTTTAAATATCAATGTTTCTGAGTGTTGGAACATGGTATGACTGAAACCTAGTCATGAACAACTGTGTAACTGTGTATCTCAAGGAGATTCAATTTTTGAAAAACAAATGAGTGTTTCAAGTTAACTAAGCAATCTAAGTGCGGGATTCAAATCCCAACTGTGTTACTTCCTCTCAGAGCTGCTTTGGTAGAGGGGGTGTCTGGGTTAATGCTACCTACAGTGCAGTAGGGAGAAATCTTGCCTTTGGGATAGCTGTACTAGTTTTGAGAAAGGGACACGACCGGTGTAAGTATACTGAACAAATAACCTAAGTCACAGGTTAGAAAGCTTTAGTGTAAGAACTGTCTCTTACACAGAAGCCACCACGCCTCTGTAATCACACCTATTCTGTGTATGAACAAAACCAAGATTATCTTTTTGTCAGAAACGCTAACGTTTATTTTACAAATGTTAAGCATCTCAAAGGGCAAGAACAACTAAGAGGGAAATTCAATGGACTCATCGGGAGCCAAAACAACCCAAGAGAGGGCACCAATGGGCGGCTCCCAGCTTCATCGTAAGCTCACTGAGCCACTTTACAACGGGAAGAAGCCACACCCACGCGCTGAGTTTACACCAGGTCAACTACTCCAGGCCCCAAGACCAAGGTCGGAATCTGGGCGGTACCGCCCCCAGGAACCCAGAAAAACCCGCCGCTCATCAGTTCTGCCACCCCCACACCTGCTCGGAGCGGCATCCCCGAGGAACTCTTTTCCGCTGTCTTTGATGGGCGCTGCGCGGGTCCAGCGAGCTGGTCACAGCGCCAATCCCGGGAGCCTCACAGGACCCTGCGGGTGGGGCTACACCTGGGGACCCCAGGGCCCAAAGCTATACAGATTCCAGGGCCGGCAGCAGAGCTGGGGACACCAGAGGATTGGCAGGGCCGGACACTCCGGTGGCGGGCATGGCGTGGGGACGCTCGCGTTGAAGAGGTGGGAGCCTGGACCCCTAAAACGTACAGTCCTGGCAACCCGCGTTCTTTCAGTAGGGGGTGGGAGTGGGGAGTAAGTGGCTTCAGGCCACGGAGCCCCCGGGGGGCGCCTCTTGGGCCACTCCCGGGCCTCCTCTGGTCACTTCCTCCGTGGCCGTGCCCTAGCGCCCTCCCCCACTCCGCGGCCACTCCTCCCGCTCCTCTGCCGCGGGGCCACCCCCACCTGTGGAGCCGGTGAGTCGCGCTGAAGGAGACGAGGCGGGACACTCGTGCCCAGCGGCGACCACCCGTGCCGACCACGCTCATGCTCGCGCCTTGCAGACCCCCGGCCTCGCTCCCTCCAGGGCCCGCTTTAGGGCGTCTGGGCGGGGCCTCCTCGCGGCTGCGCAGTCCGCGTCTCGGCGGCCGCGCGCCCCCTATCGGCCCGGAGGCGCCACGGCCGGCCCACGCTCCCCCGCGAATGGTCAGATAAGGTGGTGGCATCTTAGTGGCCTTTGTTCTGTGGGCTGGGCTGGGCAGGACAGGGCCGCCACAGGCCGTTAGGGACAGTATGGGCACATTCTGGGGGTCCGGGAGCGACCTCTAGGAGCCTCCCCTCCACTTCTTTGGAAAGTTCTGAATTAGTCATAATCACAACCTCCAGTGCCATGCTGGACTGAAATGAACCTCATAGTCACATTTTTTTCTTTTTAAAAAACATTATCCTTTTTTCATCGTTTAAAATTTACTATTTGCGCTGAAGCGATAGCACAGCGGGTACGCCGCCGACATGGCTGATCAGAGTTGGAGCCCAGCTAGCTACCAGAGTATCTTGCCCGCTCAGCAAAACGTGGCAAGCTACCCTTGATGCACTCATACACCAAACAGAGTAACAAGAAGTCTCACAATGTTACTGGGACCGCTCGAGCAAATCGATGGACAATGGGAGGACTGTGACTGTTTCACGAATGTCCCGTTTCCCTCCTGCCCACCACCCCCTTTATGGTAGACACTCCTCCTCCTCCCTCTCCAGGCACTAGGACAAATGAAGTCATAAATTTGCTTATAAATGAATAAATATGGAGAGTATCATGCTAAATGAAATGAGTCAGAAGGAGAGAAGTAGCCATGGTATGACTGCATTCATTTGTGGAATATTTAAAAAAAAAAAAGTATGAGACTAATTCCAAGTCCAGGGAAAACAGGGGCCAGGAGGACAGGTCAATGGTTAAAAGCTTGCCACAAGTGTGTGGGGGGCGAAGGGCAGTTAGGAAAGAGAAAGGACAAGTATGACAAAAATAACAGTTGGAAATTATCACTTTGAACAGGAACTGAGTGTGATAAACATAACCTTTCAGCGTCTGTATCGCAAATCATAATGCCCCAAAGGAAAGAGAAAGAAAAAAGAGAGGAAAAGTCACGTTTGCATTTCTACTTCGAGCATAAAAGCTGCAAGTTTTGGAGGTCCTGTGTGGTTTTCAGAGAGGTACTGCTTGGAAAGTTGATTCATACTATGGGAAATTCTCCAGCCATCCTTTACACCCACATACATGCTTAGTCCCACTGATCATTCTGCTGTGTGAACACGTGCATCCAAGAACACACACATGAGCAATTTGTGTTTGAAGGTACAATGCAGGCACCTCTGGGAGAAGAAGCTTTTACTCCCTCATATCTAGCCATAGGGAGTTCAAACTACTTACAGTTCCCAGTACCATGTCACCCCATGCCTCCGTTATTTTCTAAAATATTATTATTGAAGTAACATGGCTTAAAACTGTGCTAATATTTATGCTTTAAGCATACACTGTAACTGCACCAAATCCCCAATTCTATCACTGTCCCTAGGTTCCTGCCAGCCCACTGAACTGCCATTATAATCTCTAAAGTCTAAAGGTATTCACTGTATATTTCCTTGCTCTGTTTATTCATCCTTATCCTGATTTCTTTTACTTATCACAACACCCTCTAGTTCTATCCATTTTATAGCAAAATGCAAGACTGTATATTATACAACAATTTCCTATCCACTCATCTGCTGTTGTTTCCAAGTGTTGACTACTTATAAATATTGCTTTAATAAACATAGGTGTGCATGTATCTTCAAATTAGTGTTTTAGTGTTCTTGAGATTAGATACTAAGGAAAGGGAAAACCAGATCATATGGAAGCTTTATTTGTAATTTTTTGAGATGTCCCCATATTAATTTTTAGAGGCTAAACCAGTTTACAATCAACAGCAGAGAATGAGGTTCCTTTTTTCACCTAAATTTCCACCTGTGCTGGTGTATTCCAGACTTACTGATAAAGGCCATTCTCTGGTGTGAGATGCTATCTCATTGTCATTTTGATTATATACTTTCCTGGTAAACAGTTGATGGAGCACTTTTTCATATGCTCACTGGCCATCTGTATTTCTTCTCTGAGGAAAAAAGTACCTATTGAGTTCTCTCCATTTTTTGATGGAGCTGTTTCATTTTGGTGTGGAGGGTTGGGTGGGGTAGTCTTCCCACACACACATACCTTATATATACACTATGGTTTACAAAGCTGTTTACGATAATTTGTTACATTCAATATACCAACACAAATCCCACCACCACTACACCCTCCCAGTACCATTATCTCCAATTTTCCCACCCCTTAGGCCTGCCTCCATAGCAGGCCCTCAGTAATTTTATATTGCTTGTTATAATTTGCTAAAAGAATCATCAAAAAATGTCTCCTCAGAAGATAGTTAGTAAAGATTTTATATCTCACCATGGAGTCCTTGTATAAGAGATTACTAAAATGTTGTTACATGTTAAGCCTTCTATATTGATATTTTGTTGAGACTGGATGCCTTCTACATTAAATCCTATCCAATCTGGTGTGCTACTCCTAGTTTATCAGTGTTGCAGAGTATGAGATATTGACCCAAGAAGTCCAAAATTTTTAATGAGGTGATACATATGGAGTTAAATTTTTCACTGGGTGGCATTTTGAGGCATGAGTGTGACTGCCAGGAGTACAGGGAAATAGGGAGAGGTAGCCCATCCCCAACTCCGAAAGCCTGGAGATTTCACTCACGAAACCCGCATACCTGTGTTTTTCAACAGATTAATTTCTGGATGGACTGTCCCAAGCAGTGGAGTCTGTTTGGGAGCATTGCAGCAACGGTAGACTGTGGAGGTTTTCGGCTGCTGGGGCTCTGTTTGGATCAGTGCTGGATTCACCTGCTCCACTCCAGGGTACCGTGGACCACTCAGCCTTGCTCAGGGTCTGGAAGAATCTCTGCATCTTATTGATCTCTCTTGTGGTTTATTTATGAGTTTCTGGACCATGGCTGATGAAAAAACTTACATGCCAACAGAGGTGGGTTCATGGGTGTGACCCGTGTGGATTTTTGTGAGTGCTTTATATAGCTTGAATATTAACCCTTTATAAAGTCACTGTCACTGTCCTCCTGTTGTTTATCAATTTGCTCGAGCTGGCCCAGTAACACTGTGAGACTTGTTACTGTGTCTGTTACATCAACTATGTCACAGGTAGCTTGCCAGGCTTTGCCCTGCAGGTGAGATACACTCAGTAGCTTGCCAGGCTCTCTGAGAGGGGCGGAGGAATCCTATAGTGTGCAATATTTTCTCCCATTCAGTTGAGGGTCTTTTTATTTTTGCCATGTTTTATTTTGTAATGCAAATGTTATTAGTTGATAAAATCCATTCTTCTATTAAATATATGCTATATGGTTGGCACTTTCCAAAGCACTGGGAAGGACAGATAAATTCAGAGAGAAGGTACAGCAGGTAAAGCACTTGCCTTGTACACAGCTGACCTGGGTTCATTCCCCTGCATGCTATTCATATGGTTCGCCAAGCCCTGCCAGAAGTGATCCCTGAGCATAAAATGAGGGTAAGCCCTGAGCACAGCCAGATGTATCTGCGACAACCCCATAAAAGAAGCAATACAAACAAAATTAAAAGGCTTGAGAGCATACAGATGTGGCTCAGTGGTAGAACAACTAACTGCCTTTCAGTACGAGCCTCCAGTTAGATTCCCTGCATCTGTCAAGTGCAATCCTGGTGACACTGTCAGTGTGATCACCAATGTCACATCAAAAGATACCATCCTTATCACACTGCAGTCAAGTATGTGGCTCCCAAAAAGCACAGCAGACAAAGTGAGCACCCCCCAACCAAGTCTGCAAGCAGCTCAGCCTAACTTGTAACATCTGGTTACTGCAAGACAACATCAGAGGGAAGGGCAGGTAGGGAAAACGGTTATAAACTTTGTAATTATAAACATTAGAGACTTTGGAGTTAAGAAACTATCTCCTTGTTCCTCTTACTTGAATTATAAGGACACACCTGCTTAAAAAATAAAATCACTATCTCACACCATGCACAAAAGCGAACTAGTTAAAAACTTAAGCGGTTAGACCCAAATCATATAATACACTGAATAAAACAAATAGGCAAAACAACTTATGGAACTGTTCAGTAACATCAACTACTCTTAACCATTGAAATCTAGATAAGACTAGATTAAACTTGTATCTTTTCTGGAAAAGTACAATGCCTTCACAAGAACTTCTGTGAATAATCAGGGATTTGTGTTCTCATGGTTACCTGAGCCTGTATTCTCTCACATCTGCTTTATTAGTTCTATCTAGGTATTGTCAATTCTGTATACCTGCAACTGATGTCCTAAGCCTTTTACTGCCAGTGTACTTAACAATGTAAATCCATGCATACAGCACTGATATGAACACTTGTCTATAGAGGCTAGCAGTTGTGCTGTTCATAAAGTAAAGTAAAGTAAAGTAAAGGCCCTCCTGTTGTTCATCGATTTGCTTGAGCGGTCCCAGTAACGTCTCCATTGGAGATTTTGTTGTTACTGTGGTTTGGCATATCGAATACATCACGGGTGGCTTGCCAGGTGCTGTTCATAATAACTCTTAAAAGAAAACTGAGAAGAAATTGACTGTGAGTTGAGTATGTGCTGTGAGTCTAATCATAAGCAGTGTTGCCCCATACTACAAGTCTGGGGAGGGATTTCCACCACCATTCAGCATGCAGAGGGAACCTGAATGGTCTCGGAGCTTAGTTCAGTTCAGGTGTCTAAGGGTAAGAGAATAGGAGATTTTGAAGGTATTAGCAAAGCAGAGTTATTTGGGCTTCTGGTAAAATTGGTGGTTTAGGAATGTGATTATATGGGGCTAGAGCAATAGCATAGTGGGTAGGCGTTTGCCTTGCACATGGCTGACCTGGGTTTGATTCCCAGCATCCCATATGGTCCCCCCAGCACCGCCAGGAGTGATTCCTGAGTGCATGAACCAGAAGTAACCCCTGTGCATCACTGGGTGTAACCCAAAAAGAAAAAGAGGAAGGGAGGGAGGGAGGGAGGGAGGGAGGGAGGGAGGGAGGGAGGGAGGGAGGAAGGAAGATTATATGGTCTCTAGTGTCATCTGTTACCGAACTAAGTGAAGAACTACCAATTTTTCATCCATCCCTAGAGTGCTCTACCCCTAGAGATTTCTAATTTCTTCTAGAAAGGCCACGACAGTAAGATGAGGAATGGAAGACGGGTGGTTAGGGCATGAGGAGTGGACACTGAGACAACGGTGGAGAGAAACAGACACTGTGGTAAGGGTGGTGAGAAGGTGCTGGCTGGAATGCAGTAAGCATTAAACCAATCATGAACAGTACTAAATCACAGTGACTAAAGTGAAATCTAAATAAATAATGTAAAACTCTCCCCAAGGTTATTACCAGGGACTGAAACAATATGCATTGCATGCAGAAGCAAGACCTGGGTTCAATCCCTACCATTGCATGGTTTCCCAAGCTTTGCTAGAAGGAACCCCCAAGCACCACTGGGAACAATCCCTGAGCTCTGTGTCAGTAGCAGTCTTGAGCACCACTGTATGTGGCCCCAAGACAAAAAAAAAGTTGCAACAAGACTTGCTTGGGATGTCTTAAAGAGTTAGGAAGATACAGAACCATAATTAGCTCTTGCATTATATTTTTAGTAGGAATTCTAAGATCATATATCAGTAGTTTACAAGGTAAGATTCCTCTTTTTCATAGAGCATGTTCATCTTATACCTACTTCCCAGACTCTGTGGCTGACCATTAGCTGGTTACAAAGGTGCCGTGGAACCCATAGGGCATTTGCACTGGTACCTCTGCTCGGCCCAATTCTTCCAAGTTCTTTGCATCCAAGACTAGGAGAAAATTTCTTTCATTCTAGAATAAGAAAGAATACTGAAAAGCTTTTTTTTTTTTCATTGAAATCTGCAGTCTCTTCCTGGGCTGTGAAATTCCTAATGGTAAGACCATGTTTATCATATTAGTATTTCTTCCCAACACTTTGCAAAGCACCCTCATTCACTAAACACTGAGTTGCTGAATGACTGAAAAGGAAATCATGGCTGACAAAGCTGAAACCTAGAGCAAAGAAATTAAGTGGTTTATATCAATCATCTTTATAAACTCTCTGAGATTACAGATTGTTTTACTTGTCCCTTTTCAATCTTCTGAGATACATATATTCTTTATTCCAAATTAGAAATGCCTCCATCTCATGATACTTCTGGAGCTGTTCAAAAAGTAGCATTGCAAGTCAGATTGTTATTAGCCCTTACAGGACTGCCAATGAGGGCCAAGTTCAAGTAAGCCCATAACTAACTGATTAGGGCACTTTTGTCACAGAACCTTAAGAGGCCTCAGAATCCTACACCCCAGGCAGCCACCAGTAATTTATCAATGCAGGCAATCGAGGTAATCAGATATGTCACAAGATGGTCCTAAGTGAGAAATCAGACAGTAACATTCTTGAGATAATTAGTCCAGAGCAACTTCTTTAAACTCTAAGTTGTGTAAAATGGTAGGCCACAATAATAGCATGTATCATATATGTTTGTAAACTTGAGGTTGGAAAGACAATACAACAGATTGGACACTTGCCTTACACATCTAACCTGGCTCGGCTCGGCTGGCTGCATACAATGCAAATGCCCCACTGCTGTGCTATCGCTCTAGCCCACACTAAATATAACCCTATTATTCTTTTTGACTGATGATGATGATATACTTACGTAGTTGGGGGTGATCACCACAGAAAGAATAACACCATCATCTTCCTCACTGGCTCCAGGTATTGGAACAAAAACAGGTTCAGAGGGATAAAAGCCATCTTTTCTCCAAACCTGTTAAATCCAAAAGAGAATTTGATAAAATTTTAGTTATGGGCTCTAAGTTTTCCACAGCTTTTGTTACTCCAGTCATGAATTTCTCTGTCAATATAATAGTTCAGCAGTAAAATAACCAGGCGTGCCAGAGAACAGAGGAGAAGAGGGAGCGCTTGCCATTCCTGATTCCATCATCATCAAACACAATTTTTGGAATTCTAATTTCCTATTAACCAGAAACTCAAGCGCCTCCCTAACTCAATACTTCTCTCAATATAGCATCAAGCATAGAATTATTTGTCTGATTTGTGGTTCATTTTGGCTTCCCCAGAAGAAACAGATGTAATCTGGATGATTCCACCCACGTTCTGAAACTTAAAGTAGGTGACTGCTTGAATATTAAAGAATCTCAAAGCCATCTTAAACCAAAAAAAAAAAAACTAAATGCTAAAGCAGAAAAGGCCTAAGAGTTCAGGAAAAGATAATTTTTTTTCCCATCACCTTCAGTGTCTTGTGCACGATATCAACTTTTATCAGAGAATCTCCCACCAAATGCTGAAAGCCACAGCCATAGAAGAAATTGTACTTTTTGCCATTGAATTGACCATAATTGATCTGGGGGAATTCAATGCCTCCTTCTGCCTCTAGGTCCTCAGGATGTAGATTTTCATAAGAACACCATACCTAAAAGACATTCCAACAATTTTTATAATGGTTGCTCACTTCTCATTTATTTTCTTTAGTGTAGATTATAGCTGGAGGGTGAAGGAAAAGGTATTATTATGTAAGAATCTGGATATGGTTTAGAAAATGAAGTTCTCTGTCTTTTTTAATTAATCCTCTATTTGTATATTGATGCATTAAATACTCTTTAGGTTTTTCTAACTAAATTCTCAAACAGCATAGGAGGGTGGACTTTTCAATTCTTCTAAAGCTTAAAGATCACTCCAAATGATACATCTGTGATAAGGCAAATTAGCCAAATAATTGAGATGGTCAATATAATAACAAATGCTTAGAGATTCCACAAACATAAGAAAACTGAGTCTATCAGTTTCAAAATACACACACACACAACTAAATACAGTGCTTACACCCAGTAAGAATTCTGTGGTCCTGGTGCCAGCAGTTCTAAGACTTTACCCTTTTTGGCTTCTGGCTGAAGTTACAAAATTTACTGAGAGCCAAACACTGTGAAGAACAGTCAGTGAATAAAAAAACACCACTGAGGTTCAAACTCTTGGTTCAATGAATACTCTTCACTTACCTTTCCATCAGCGTGCTTCACAGCGCTGGCTGAGGAATAAGACAGAGAGCTGAGGTTCTCTCCCTGAGGGGCATTCGGACTGATGTTTAAGGGCAACACAAATCTTCGAGGGAAAGATCTAGCTAACGAATTATAGACCTGTGGCGGAGCAAGAAATAGATGAGGTCATTGTCACTGACAGGATACAGCATGTCATGATAATTTAGATCCAGCCAACATTATTAGCATTCCTAAGTTATTGTGTAAATGGTAATTTTCATTCATTGATTTATTCAACAAATCTCTTTCTAGTATTCTCTAAGCACTGCTTGAGAAACTGAGAATACAGCAGTGAACAAAAGGAAACTCTAGTTTTAAAGAATTTATATTCTAGTGGAGAAAGAGTGGTAACAAATAAGAAATGAAATGTTACTTAATTAGTACTGAAAGAACAGTTAATTATATAGCCAAAGATTGAGAGTGATAAGTGCCCTTAAAAATAATAGTGCAGGTGCTGGAGAGACAGTACAGTGGGCAGGGCACTTGCCTTGCATGTGGTTGACCCAGGTTCATCCCATATGGTCCCCTGAGCTTATCAGTAATAATTCCTGAGCACAAGGCCAGGAGTAAACCCTCAGCATCGCTGAGTGTGGCCCCAAAACCTAAAAGCTATATATTGCCATGCTAGAGATAGTATAGAAGGTAGAGAACTTGCCTTGCATGTCACTCACTGGGACTGATCCCTGGCACCACATGATTCCTTGGGCACTGCCAAGAGTGATCCCTTAGCACAGAGCCAGGAGTAGCCCCTGAGAACTGCTAAATGTGGCCCTAAGTACGTACATACATACATACATACATACATACATACATACATACATAATACTGTGAGGGTGAGAAGAGAGTATAAGGGTTAGGGCACACTGAGAACAGATTCGATTTCTAATCCACATGATCCCCCAAATATCACCAGGTGTAGACCTTGAAGGCCCTGAGCAACATCACATCCTCAAGCCCAAGCATTCTGCTGTCTATACGAGAATCCCTTGGAGTGGAACCCGACTTCCTGAGCACTGGTTGAGAGAATCAGCTCACTCCGCCCTCCAAAAAAAACCAGAAACATACTAAAGAGCAAAACCAAAAGGGGCTACCTTCTTCACTTTGGGTAGGGTAGCCCCCTGTTCAGGGAAGAATTAATTTAGCTGCCCCAGGTTGCTTATACCTGTGCATTCTGTTTTCATGACTGGTCCTTTGTCAGCACTTGAAATGTTTCATCTGATTAAGAGTAATCCTTCATACCTGAGGCTTTGGCTACATGTAAGAAGCTTGTCCATCGAGGCTTTATACTAATCCACGTGCATTCCCTTGGGAGACTGGAGTCTCAGTAATCAATACAATTAATGAAAGGGTTCTATGCCACCTGATCCCCAACAAAGCCTCAAGACAATCAGTTGGGTGACCTTTCCCAGAAGACATTCTATACACATTGTCACAGGAGTTGCTGGAAGAATTAGGCCTGTTCTGTTGTGCGACAACTTGCAGATCTCTGGGAAGCATAAATTTGGCTTCCTCCAGACTTCAGCTCATATTCTGCACACCCATTTCACAATGATTCACAATGATAATGTCTCATTACAGTACAATATCACAGCTGGGAAATTTACTTTGGTATAATTCACCAACTTTTTTTGGATGTCACTCTTTTAATATGAATTCTTAGTGTTTATGCTTTTAGTTCTCACTTGTAACTTCATGGGGCCACCACTACACTCACAATATTGGACAGTTTTATCACCACAGGGATTCTCCATGCTTCTCCTTCATAAGAACACAGTTGGACCAAGACTCCAACACCTTACCCTAATAAGAAGATATTCTGATAGCTTTGTGAGGCTAGAGGGACTGTCACTGTCACTGTCCTCCCATTGTTCATCGATTTGCTCGAGCGGGCCCAGTAACATTGTGAGACTTGTTACTGTGTTTGGCATATCGAATATGTCACGGGTAGCTTGCCAGGCTCTGCCGTGCGGGTGAGATACTCTCAGTAGCTTGCCGGGCTCTCTGAGAGGGGCAGAGGACTCGAACTTGGTTCGGCCATGTGACTGGCGTGCAAGGCAAACGCCCTACCCACTCTGCTATCGCTCCAGCCCAAGGCTAGAGGGACAAAAGGTGGAATTCAGAAACTGCTGAGGGTTAGAATTCAGAAACTGCAAGTTCTTTGAGTCAGGACCCTGTAGGTCTACACCCTTGAAACAGTTCAGCTATTGTAGGAACTATACCCTACTGATATAAAAAAAAAATTACCATAGCCTGATTAAGAATACCTGTAACTGATAATGGTAAAAACTGTTTATACTACAAAATTCAAAGAGGCAATTTACCTTTGATTTAGCACAAGGAAAAAAACCCATCAACCTGGTGAGCTGATATACTTCCTTTTATCAGAAAATTAAGATTACAGTCCCTTCCATTTTATCTTCCAATAAACGTAATTTATGTTTAGTGCTCTAGGGCAATAAGGAACAAATCACAAGTGCTTCAATACACATCATTTGCATTTCTTTACCATGTTTTTCTTTCTTTTTTTTATAAGGGTCACACCCTAACAGGCACTCCAGGAGCCTTTCCCAGGGATGCTCAGCTTGAGCACTATGGGTCTAGCGTGTTGGGATTCTGCACTTGGGGCTCAGGGACCAGCAGGGCTATTCTGGTATTAGGGGGAAAGCATGGAGAATATGGTGACAGTGACAAAACTCACGGCTTCACACATAATAATGTTTCCTTAGCACTTGATCTAACTTCCTGCCCCTATTATACTTTTAATTTACAGGTATTAAGTAAACACTTAAAGGAATATATTTGCTCGAGCGGGCCCAGTAACGTCTCCATTGGAGACTTTGTTGTTACTGTGTCTGGCATATCGAATACTCTCGGTAGCTTGCCGGGCTCTCCGAGAAAAGGAGTATATTTAATGCTTTTAAAAATCATTTTCCTTTATCTTCCAAAGGGGAGAGAGAAACAACAAATGCCAAGGCCATAAGTTGGTGGATTCAAATATTTTTTCATATCTCCTCCTGACAAATTGTGAGATATTTACCTGATCAAGCCCTTCCCCAGATTTCCTAAGATTCTGTAATTGATAAACATCTATGCTTTTTCCATCATCTTGACAGCACAAATCAAGTACAATACAGTCTTGGTCTTCAAAGGCATTGATTTGATGAAAAGTAACAAAAGGCTTGCCATAGTACATCCCTGGAAGAAGCTGCAGAGAAAAAATGCAATGGAAAAGAGATCTTTCCTTTTATTTTTGCTTTTTTTTCCCTTTATGAAATAAATTAAGATTTTTCCCCCTCTTAACTGACAGTCCTGGAAGATTTAAAAAGTATGACTTAAGACATAAATGCAAATATTCGATGACTTAAACATTATTTACTCAAGTCATGTCATCCCAATTAATCAACTAATTGGAGCTATTTGATATAGACTGTTACAACATAAAAACCTTATGAAATCTATTCCAGTGTTTTAAAAGATAAATAAATCTTGGCTTTTAACTACATGGTAAAATAGAAAATAATGCAATTAATCAGATTATTATAAGTTAAGTGACCAATTCATTGAAAAGTGTACTCATTATTAAAATGAAACTTAAATGAAATTAAGATATAATATACTGTCTCTTTAGAGAAGATAAAAATATATAAATATAGTGATATATATTAGGAGTATAAAAGATTTAAGCAACATGGACTTTAGTAAAATTATATTAATATATCAAGCAATCACAAAAACATATAATTAAAATATTGTGGGGCCAGAGTGATAGTACAGAGCAGCCAACTAGAGTTTGATCCCATATGGTCCCCTGAGCACTGCCAGGAATAATTCCTGAGTGCAGAACCAGGAATAACTCTTGGGTCACCATGTATGACCCTAAAAAGACAAAAAAAAATCACTGCAGGGGCTAGAGAGGTAGTACAGTAGGTAAGTCTTGCCTTGCAAGCAGACAAGGTTCTAGGTTCAATCCCTGACACCCTTAATGGTCCTCTGACTTCCAGAGGAGTGATCCCTGAGCAGAGAGCTAGAAACAAGCCCTGAGCACTGGTAGATGTGCCCCCCAACAAACAAAACAAATTATTGCAAAAGTTACTAAAGCCCTCTCCAATATCTTCTTCAGCAAATATTATCACATGGAAAAAGCCACAGTAAAAAACTTTCCTAGTATCATTTAAGCAAGATCATGCAAAGGATAGTTTCCCACAATTTTCTGATATGCATCTCCACTGTATTAATTCATTTGCAGCTACTTTTATTTCTAGAAAAAGGCAATATCCTTTACTACAAATGTTTTATGCAAGCAACATGTGCACAGTGGTGGTAAAAACCAAACACATGAAACTCTGTCTCGGCATCTGAACATTTCACAATAAAGCCCTAAAATTACTCCACCTGTCCAGTGTGTTTATCCACCACATGAAACCGTGTATTATATTGGGGTTCCCAACTTATTCCATCTGAAAAGGCTTTTCCCCGAATTTTAGAAGTGATGATTTTCCCCAGATGCATCTTCAGAGGTTGTTCAATGAAGATTATGTAGTTCCTTGTCATTCCTAAAGGTGTTCCACAGAAAATAAAAGTTACTTGAAAAACTAGCACTGTCTGAAAATTAAAGCTATCATAGGAATTTATGGTGACTTCCTAGAAGAATGAGAATTGACTTCTGACCTAAATAACTGCTAGCCAAAAATTATCTGTTTCTGCTTCTAAGAATGGAGCAGAGAGATAATATAACAGGTAAGGCTCTAGCCTGGAATATAGTTAGTTGTCCTGGGTTCAGCTGGCCCATATGATCCACCAGCCTACCAAGAGTAAGTGTGGATCCCTGCGCATTGCTGGGTGTGCTCCTCTCCCCGCCTCCACCCCCAAGAAAAAGCAATCTTGGTCTCATGACATTATTCAAATAAATATGATTAGCATAATATTCACTAAAAGTAGCCCATCTGCTACAGAGACCTTAAGATAAGTCCCACGACCGTTTGCCTTATCACAGGGCTCACCAAAACTATGGTAGTAGGAAGGTTTCATCCTCTCTGCAGAAGCAAAAGAACATATCACCTGGGCTCCACAGAGTTGCTCACTAAGGTCCGCCTTCTCTGGAGGAATCCGAATAACATTATAGCAAGAACCTGGAAAAAGGTTTGTATTTTTACATACATTCTCAAAATCATTTTTTGATACACAAGACACACATACTTCATGGGGTGAACTTCCAAAACTTGAATATAAAAAGAACATACTAACTTTATAACTGCATTAGCTAAACTTTGGAACAACAGAGAAATCAATCAATAGTTTGTTGTATTTCAGTGCTCTCAAGTGGTCCCTGAAGGCACACTGAATCCTTACTTTAGGAAAAACTAAAGTATCAATCAGGAATATCCTCAAATTCTATTTGTTCCTCTTCCACCATCCCAACAATTATCATCTCCATTTGAACCCAAGCTCAAGTCTTTCCCCCTGAATCCCTCGGCTCATGAGGTCATGTTGGGTCCCATCTCATTCTGTCTCATCAACACTCACTCATGTTTCATCATACAATCATTCATCTGACTGTTACTTATTATTTATTTTATTTTTCAACAAATAACTTAGTGTCCACTTCTCAAGTAGCCTTTCCTAACTCTTTTCTATCCCAGAGGTATTTGGTGCCCCTTATCTTTGCCCTGATTATACTCTATACCAAGATATAGTACTAATCATAATGTACTACAATTTCCTCTTGTTTATCTATTTCCTAAGGGATGGGTGAGCTCTTCAAAGGTAGGAATTATTTCTGATTCATCTTTGCATCTTCAGCAGAAAAATACTTAGCACTTAGCAAACTGCTAAATGCTATAAATTGCTAATGATGGATCAAGAAACACGTGTTTACTAATCATTCATTGACTGAAAAAATATTGAAGCCACACTGAATCATATTCCAGGTATTAGAATTAAAACATTCCTATGTTCTGAAGAATTTGCATAACTATAGGATTTTGCAAACACTAAGCTTTTTTTGAAACAAAATAACCACACAGTTTTCTGTGTTTGGGGGTGAGGGGGAGGGTGTTTTGTTATGTTTTATTTTAAATTAACATTTGTCAATGTTCAAGGGCTATTCCTGGCTCTGTGTTAGGAGAAATACCTGTTAATATTCAGGAGACCAAATGTGGTGACAAGATTCGAACCAGGGTTTGCTGCATGCAAGGTAAACATCTCACCTCCTGTATAATCTATCTTTTATACACCTTTCTAGTCACTTATTCAGCAACTTATTGTCTGTATACTATCTTCCAGACACATATAAGGGCTATATAAGTACTGTTATCCATCTAGATATTGTATATAGTCCTGTATAAAATAGACAAAGGCTCTACACTTTCATATAGCTTAAAAAAAATAAATAAAAAAAATAAAGGCCCTCCCGTTGATCGTCGATTTGCTCGAGCGGGCCCAGTAACGTCTCCATTGGAGACTTTGTTGTTACTGTGTCTGGCATATCCAATACTCTCGGTAGCTTGCCGGGCTCTCCAAGAGGGGCGGAGGAATCGAACTCGGGTCGGCCATGTTGGCCGCGTGTAAGGCGAACGCCCTACCCGGTGTGCTATCGCTCCAGCCCATATATATAGCTTAAATTAGAATAAATTTCATAATAAATGTATAAAGCATTGTATCATATATGTACTATAGTAGGGAGTAACAAGAGAATATAGATTGAAAGTGAGTATGTAAAGAAGAGGGCTATGCTTGAAACTATAAATACAGTGGCCTAGGAAAGCTATACCAGTAAAGTGACATCTGAAAAAATGATGGGTGTGAGAAAGAGAACAGTGACAGAGAGAAGAGCAGTGCAAGGATTCTGGGCGCACGGTAAGTCTCAAGTGTTCTGTAACAGTAAAGAGGCCAGAGTGATGCTGTCAATAGAAGTCTAGGAGATAAGGTTAGTGAAAAAGATAAACTGGCTGATATGCTGAGAATAAACTGACATGTAGAAAGAAAAAGGAGAAGCTATTGAAATTACTCAAATGAGAGAGGATGGAGGCTCAAATTATAATGGTAGCAGTAGATATGACACAAATATATTATTGATTATATATTTTTAAAATTAGTACTAAATAGATGGATATTTAGTTTTAAATTCATCTTTTTTTAAGTGAATTTTATTTTATTTTATTTTATTTGGAGAAAGGGGTTGGGACCACACCCAGCAATGCTCAGGGATTCTTCTGGTTCTGTACTCAGTAGGATTACTCCTGGAAGTGCTCAGGGGACCATATGGGATGTCAGGGATCTAACCCGGGTCAGCTGTGTGCAAGGCAAGTGCCTTACCTGCTGTACTATCTCTCCAGCCTTAGGTGCATCTTTTAAAAATCTTTTCTAAAACCTGAAGAAGTTTAAACAATGAAAAGGTTTTTACTCTTTAAAGCTAAATTCTTAGGAAGACCTTTGACCTATAAGAATCACTAAATTTCCCCAAGACTCATCCTTCATTATCAAGTCCCCTGCAGTTACACGTACCTTTGAGGTCTAGTCCAAAAGTCCTTACTGAACCACTTATTCAGATGGAGAAAAAATACACGGAAGCAGTTGTAGTTGAAATTAGAAGAAAACGATTTTTCTATCGGCAATTGGATCAAGTGAGAATTATTTATTTCACTAAATTTAAACACTTTTAGTTAATGAAGTATGATTCGAAGTGTAAGTCTTGAAGCTATGGATGGACGAGGAAGAGAGACAACTAGGAAACACCCAACAAAAGAATGCCCAGGGAAATGACATGTTCAAACTGCGAGTCTAACTTCTGAAAGCTCTTCAGAAATATAAGCAGCAAACTGAGGCAAAGTAACAAACAAAACCTTTGATGCCTGCTGCCAAGGTTTTTCAAAGATAGATCCAGAAGCCATTTTCACCAATATCCATTTGGGACCCTATTTAAAAAACAAGAAACTTGTACCAAACAAGAAACAGGAGGCAGTCAAAATTCAGACTAACTGGTTCTTATTAGGTCTAAGCCAAAAACTGACATTTAAGAAATCTACAATGCTATAAACAGCATTTTATATGATTCCCAAACACAAGTAAAGGGTAAAAATCACTGAACTGGGGCTAAGAGAGAGAGTACAGTGAATAAGGCATTTGCTTGCCTTGCATGTGGTCAAGGGCTAGAGCATAGCACAGACAGCTGGAGCTACAGCACAGCAGGTAGGGTGTTTGCCTTGCACGCAGCCAACCCAGGTTCGATTCCTCCTCCCCTCTCAGAGAGCCCGGCAAGCTACCGAGAATATCCCGCCCACATGGCAGAGCCTGGCAAGCTCCTTGAGAAGTATTCAATATGCCAAAAGCAGTAACAACAAGTCTCACAATGGAGACATTACTGGTGCCCGCTCGAGCAAACTGATGAACAAAGGGAGGGCAGTGACAGTGCTTTCTTATTAGGAACTACTTAAAAATATATCTGCTTCATTAATAGTTTATTAACAAATTTTTCTGGATGGGGAGATGACTCTCAAAGGGCTTATGGGCAGGATCCCAGTTCAATCCTCAGCACCACAGGGTCCACCCAAGCACTTCTGTATATGGAAAAATAAAGAAATAAGACTTTTCTAAAGATTAAAAAGATGGCTGGGGAGTGGGAGATGTGATTAGGTGGCAGCCTCTCAGGGCCCTCCCCGGTCACAACCACTAAAAAAAAGATGGACATTAGATGAGTAAATGGCTGAATTTATCCACTTGATGAAACATTTTCAAGTAAGAAGATGTTTTGCTGTATCCTAGACAGCTATGAAAAAGAGATCTGTAACTGATATCAGGTATTAAAGAGAGATGCCTAGGTGTTGATGTTCCCAGGGCATGTTCTTTTTACTTGAGTCAGTAAAAAACTAACAGTAATAATACTACGTATTATTTTTCCTATTCACTCACAAGTACAAATATGAAAATATATAAATAAAAGTTCAAAATGCCAATTACTTTCTACAGGGGTACATAAACCATATAAAAGTTTCTTTGGTTATTAATGACATTGATGATTGACAGCTAATATACTCATAAATGTCACAAACATATTTTTTTCAAACAAAAAGACATGTATATTCCGGTACAGGAACATGAATTTGCAAGCCCCAAGGGAGTCTTTTCTTACCAGTGATGAAAAACCATAAGATAGTCTAATGGAATGACTAATAAGCCTTTGGGTGTGATTCAGGCTTGAGATAAAGTTTAATCTTAATCTTAATCTTAGCTTGGACAAGCAAACATTTTAAAACTTTTCAAGATTTACTTCTCAGTAAAACTGGAGCAATAGTTAGGTTTTTCTGATTTGTTGTAAGGATTAAATGAGAAAATACTTAAGAAAATGCATCCGTGGCACAAAGTAGGAATTCAATAAATTTTAGCTATTATTATTAGCTATTAGAACTTTCTGGAGCAGATCAGTAAGCAGTTAGGAAAATACGTAGAAGGATGACCAGGAAATACAAGTTATGTAATAAGAGATTGTAAATGCAACCACATCACAACCTTAGCTTACTTTATAGTGTATTAGTCCCATGATAAGAAATAACTTCACATGATATTCCATATAACAAACAATGTACTTTCCCTATTTCCCTTTGCTGTAGCATCCTAAATTTCTTGTACATTTACAATAAGGTACTTGAAAAGCACAATGAAAAACATAAAAATGTAAGTCAAGCTGAAAAGATCAGGGCCAGAGTAATAGTACAGCCAGTTGGGCACTTGCCTGGCATGTAACTGAGCCAGGTTCAATCCCAATATTCCATATGGTCCCCAAGCTCCATCAGGAGTGATCCCTGAGCACAGACCCAGGAATAATCCCTGAGCACTGCCAGATGTGACCCCAAAACAAGCAAAACAACAACAACAAAAAGCTGAAAAGGTCAAATAGAAAATCAGCTGCCAAGAGGCCTGGATAGTACAGTGGGTAGAGTACTTGCCTTACACACAGCTGACCCAGTTTGATCCCTGGCATCTCATGTGGTCCCCAGAGCCCACCAGGGGGGGATCCCGAAACACAGAGCCAGGAGTAAGTCCTGAGCAACTCCGGGAAAACCAAAAGCCAAAAACATGGGGGGGGGGGGAGGTAAATCAGTTGCCAAGTATAAAAGCAAAAAAGACCACTGAATGCATCCTTAATACACTAAACAGTTTTAAGTTCAGTAATCTCCACTTTAGAGATTTCTTTTTGAGCATTTCAGATTAAGTTTCATATGTTTACATCATGGCAATCATGAAAACCTGGGAAGAGAGTTAACTACCAATGACTTTTTTTTTTAACTCTCCATCCCAACTTTACCATGTGGGCCATAGGAGTTCCCCATGTTGTATGCTGTACCATCTGGGTCATAATGAGGATGTGCAGTTGCTCCATTCACGGCAATAAGTTTACTCCAGTCCACCTGATAATTTAAGACCATCAAAAATTTTTAAACGTTACCCGGGTAGATCTCTATTTGGATACATAAGCAATGGGTCTATGTCAAATATTTTCGTAAGAGAATGAAAACTGGGGCTGGAACAATAGCACAGCAGGTAGGGCGTTTACCTTGTACGCGGCCAACCCAGGTTTGATTCCCAGCATCCCATATGGTCCCCCGAGCACCACCAGGAGTAATTCCTGAGTGCATGAGCCAGGAGTAACCCCTGTGCATAGTCGGGTTGTAAGATTAGAAATGTAAGGGCCGGCCGGGCTAATAGTCATGAAAGAGTTAAGTGGTAGGAAAGAGTTAACCAGAAAACTGTAAAAGCTGTGAAAGCTAGAGTTGCAAAAGCTGGCTCAAAAGAGTTATAATGTAGCTCCCACCTACACCCTGCTATGACCTTGTGGTTGGGCCAGATATGGGGACATGTGCTCAGATGTTCCCAAGAAGTTAATCTTGTGCAAGTGTCATGCTGTTCTTGGTAAAGCTGTAGATTGCTGTACTGTAAGATTCCTTTGTTTATTCTTGGTTATAAAAACCCACTGTACTTTGGCTTGGGGCTCTCTGCCTCTGTCCTGTTATCAGGACATGGAGTGAGCCCCAGCATGCTTGGACAATAAACCCTGTGCGTGTTGCATGAGAAAGTCTCTCTTGGAGTCTTCCTTCACGGGCGGTGAGCGTCTTGACCCTAACAGAGTGTGACCCAAAAAGCAAAAAAAAAAAAAAAGAGAGAGAGAGAGAGAGAGAGAATGAAAACTACTGTCCAAGCCCTAATATTTCACCTCCAAGAAAAAAAATCATTTTTCCTGCCAAAGGGGAAAAAATTAGGGGTAGGCTGGTGGCAAAGTGACTGCCCTGCAAGCATGAAACATTGCATTTGATCCCTGGTGCTGTCCACATATGCCCAGTGCATTCCTGCAATTCTGCTGCCTAGGTCCCCAAGCATCCAAGAATGTATCATCAGTAGAACACTGCAGCCAGGTGTGTGCATGCACTGCAAATAAAAGTGTAAGCGCCCCCTCCACCCAACAAGCACTGTAGCTGAAGACAGATAAGCGCCACAGCCAGGAGCACAAGTCCTGGCAAGCACTACAGCAGAATGTCCATGAGCACCACAACTAAAGAAACACGCCCCTGGTGAGCACATGTGTAAGCACAAACCAAGCAAGCACTGTAATGAGTGGGTAAGCACCATGACCCAAATATACGAACACCAAAATCACTTTTGTGAGTGATATGCTCCCGACCACCACCCCAATCAGTCACTGCCACAACGGCAGAACAAAGGGCAGGAAGGGGAAAAGGCTGAGACACAGACCAGGGATTAAGGCTCACATTCCTTACATGTGTGGCTGATCTTTATTCTATCTCCAGCAGTACATGGTCCCCCGAGCATCACTGGGTTCAGTCCTGGAAGTTCCTAAGCATCACTGAGAGTGGCCCCGTGAGCACTGCCAGGGTAATCCTTGGTACCACCGTGCCCAAATACCCCTTATAGACTCTGCTCCTTGAATGAAAACACCAACCAAGTTGGTCAAGAATGACCAGGAATGGTATCTGTTCTTTTGAACACCTCGAGAGATATTCCCTCCCATAAATAAAATTTAATAAAAAATCAGGGAGAGGGGGGGCAGAGAAATAGTATGGAGTTACAGTAAGGCACATGCTTCCACATGGCCTATCTGTGTTTGATCCCTGACACCCCATATGTTTCCCCAAGTACTTCTAAGAGTGATCCCTGAGTAGAATAAAAAGAGTAAGTCCTGAACACTGCCGAATGTGGCCCAAAAACAAAACAAAAAAGAAAGAATCAAATGACTAATGACTAAAACAAAAGCAACAAAGAAAGAAACAAAAACATTAATTGATTTGTTTAGGTCACAGAAAAGTTCAAAAAATTTAAGTGAATCATCACCATATTTGGACCTCCAAGAACCATCAGAAGTGACCCCTGAGCACATGGGTCCCCCTTTTTTTTTCCTTTCTGGGTCAAATCCAGCGATGCATAGAGGTTACTCCTGGCTCTGCACTCAGGAATTACTCCTTGCAGTGCTCGGGGATCATATGAGATGCTGAGAATCGAACCCGGATCGGCCTCGCACAAGGCAAACGCCCTCTCCGCTGTGCTATCGCTCCAACAGAAACAGCCCCTAATTCCTGCCAGGTGTGGCCCCAAAACTCAAAATAATAACAATCATATCACGGTCCTCCCATTATTCATCGATTTGCTCAAGCGGGCCCAGTAACGTCTCTATCGTGAGACTTGTTACTGTGTTTGGCATATCGAATACGTCACGGGTAGCTTGCCAGGCTCTGCCGCGTGGGCGAGATACTCTCTGTAGCTTGCCAGGCTCTCCGAGAGAGGCGGAGGAATCGAACTCGGGTTGGTCATATTGACTGTGTGCAAGGCAAATGTCCTACCGCTGTGTTATTGCTTCAGCCCAACAATAATAAATTAAAGATGAGAGTTGGTTCAAAGAAATGGAGCATATTATTTGTATGTGGGAATCCTGGGTTTGATCCTTGACACACGATTCCCCAAGTACCATCATGAATGGCCCCAAATATATGCAATAAATTACAAATATACAATAGACTCTGATCTGAAATTCTATTTATTTTTTGTTTTGTTTGGGGGGGCCACATCCTCTAATGCTCAGGGATTACTCCTGGTTCTGCACGCAGGGGTCACTCTTGACATCGTCAGGTCAGCCACATTCAAGGCAAGCACCTTACCCACTTTTCTATCACTCCAGCCTTTGAAATTTTACTTCTTTTAAAAACTAATGTGATAAATAAAAGGATCAAGGGCTGAACAATTTCCAGTTCATTTCTGCAGTTAGGAGAACATGAAGTGGTCAAAGCAAATTTTCTGTATCACAGCCTTCAGATATTAGGACTAAAGAAGAAATCTATAGTACCAAGAATTTTACTCCATGGCTTGGAGGCCAACCACACATGCTAGGGGAAAAGGGAGCTCAGATAGAGAAGGGAACACCAAATAAAGGATGTTGGGAGGCTCCTCCCAGGATGGGAGAAGCATGCTGAAAGTAGACTACAGACCAAACATGATTGTCACCCATTGCCTCTTTTGCAAACCACAACACCCAATAAGAGAAAGAGAATAAAAGGGAATTCCCTGCCACAGAGGCAGGGTGGGATGGGGGGATGGGGGTGGGAGGATACTGGGATCCGTGGTAGTGGGAAATGGGCACTGGTGGAGGGATGGGTATTTGATCATTGTATAATTGAAACCCAAGCACAAAAATTTGTAAGTCTACAACTGTACCTCATGATGTCTCACTAATAAAAATTTTAAAAATAATTAAAAATTTTTAAAAATTAAAAAATAAATAAAATAAAGAAGAAATCTAGAATTATATTTAAGAAAACCAACCACACTGGCCTTTCAAAGCATGATGGACATACAAGCTGACTTTGTTTTTGTTTAGTTTATCCTCCAACTTCTCCAGATATTATGTCCCTAAAAGGCATTTAAAATAGGACAGAATTTTAGGGTCTATTTTATTCATTTTTTAACCTATATTTTACCTTTTCTGTTTTTTCCAGGGTTTCGATGTCCACCTTATTCATAAAGTTGGTCTCAGTACTAACATAGTAATCGCCCTCATAACGCACGTAGTTAACGTTGGTGTTGTCAGTTATTGCTGAAAACAAAACCTAAAGTTATTAAAACATTAAAACAGTGTAGCAGGCCTGAAGCACTCAGAGGAAGAAATATATTTAAACATTCTCTCATACAATAAAAATAAAATAAAATAAAGCTCTATTTCAGGAGTTTTATGTAAATAATCATTACTGCCAACTACAAATTTGGGGCACATTAAAACTGCTTACCAAGCATCTCAAACTTTGACATGAAACGTTCAAAAATATTCTTGCATGGATCAGGGACAGCAAGTGTGCCAAATTCTGAGATCACAATTCGATTGTGTGTACTGTTGGCTTTAAAAGTATCGCTCTGGAGGAATTTGCTCCTGTATGTCACTGTGCCCTTCTCCAGCCTAAACTGGTGAAGCAAAGCCATTCCATCAAACCAGTGATTATACCTTTGAATGGAATCAAAAATAGAAAAGCAAACATTACTAAGAAAAACCATGGGGTCAAAATAAAAGACATCAGGGGCTGGAACAATAGCACAGCAGGTAGGGTGTTTTACCTTGCACATGGCCGACCCAGGTTCGATGCCCAACATCCCATATGGTCCCCTGAGCACTGCCACGGGTAACTCCTGAGTGGAGAGACAGGAGTAACCCCTGTGCATTGCTGGGTGTGACTCAAAAAGCAATAAATAAATAAATAGAGACATCAGATATAGAGTTACCTCATTTTTTGTTTACCTTTATAATACTTGGCAGATGTGGTAAACCTGCTTTTGAGCAAGTCTACTGGCACCATTTTTTCTAAAAGCTAACTTCAAGTTTCTGCATCAAATTTTTTTAATTCTTGAAATATTTAAATTTTTTCTACTGTTATATGTTATAATGATCTGCAATCAATGTCACTACTGTAATTGCTTTATGATACTGCACCCATATAAGATGTACTTATATGCACCCATATAAGATGTACTTATATGTACTGCACCCATAAAAGATGGTGAATTTAACTGATTAAAAGGTGTGTTCTGAATGTGCCATCATTTTTCTATCTTTCCTTGGGCCTCCCTAGTCCCTATAAAACCATAATATTGAAATTATGCCAATATATAACCTTATTATTGTTTTCAAGTGTTCATTGAAAGGAATAGTAGTATGTCTAACATTAAATATCTAGAAATAACTATATTTAGTGAGGAAGACAGGACAAAAGTTAAACCTCTTGGGCCTACAGTTAGTCAGGTTATGTCAGCAAAAGTAAAGTTCTTGAAAAGCAAAAGTTCCTCCTGAGAAATTAACAATAAGAAAGTGAAACAGCCTTACTGCTGGTACATAGAAAGTTTTAGTGACCTGGATAGAATATCAAACCAGACACAATATTGTATTCAACCAAACCTAATTCAGAGCAAGGCCCTACCTATCTGCAGTTCTATGAAGCCAAAGAGAAAGAAAAAAGTTTGACGCTAACATCAGTCTCAGGAAAGAAACCGTCTCCTTAATGTCAAAGAAAAGGCGAAGAAGAAAAAAAGAAAAAAAACCAAATAGGTAAAATAGCAAGTCTGATGGAGAAGCTGCAACAAGTTATCCTAAAGATCCAGTTGAGATTTGTGATGGAAGTATACACTAAACAAGAGGGTTTACTGAACATGGTAATTCCACTGTTGAGACTTACTACTTAGAAAAAAAAGACTTTACTGCTGATTGACCTGGTCATTGAAGAGTGTTAGTGGAGATGCGTAAGATATAAGATTGCCTCTGTACCTACTAATATAACAACCATTCTGCAGTCAACAGATCCAGAGTAATTTTGACCTTCAAGTCCTAATTTAAGAAATAAATTTCTGGCATCTTCTCCATTTTGGAGATTCACCAGCATCTCAATTTGAGATGTGCAATTCATTTCTTTTAATTTATGGTGTATTCTCTATCTTGGAGATTCTGCTACAAAACATAATGGTCATTAAGATTTCATAAAAATATGGGCTAAAGGGCTTTTGTTTTTGGTTTGGGGGTCATTTTTGGTAGCGCTCAGGGTTTACTTCTGACTCTGTGCTCAGGGATTACTCCTGGTGGGGAACAGGAGACTATACAATGTGCAGGGATTGAAATAGGGTCATTGCTTGCAAGACAAATGCCTTACCCATGGTATTATCTCACTAGCCCCTTAAAAAGGCCTTTGGTAGTGTGAACTTTTTTCAGTCTGGGGCAATGGGTCAGGGATGTAGCTCAAATTATACAGCACATGCCTTGCACTAACAAGATCCTGGTTTTGACCCCTGGCATGACCCTACCACAATGAAATAAAATAAAACCAGGAGGTAAACCATATACATATCAATGTAATTATTTAAGACAGATCTACAGAAGTGGTACAAGACTAGTAGTAAAGACTTCAAGGTGCCAAGAGAAGTCATTTAATGATGTAAATGAGTTTCCCTTTAACCTCTTCTGCATTTCAAAAAGCTTTTTGTTGTTTTGGTTCTGGTTTTTGAACCACACCTGTGAATACTTAGGAATTACTCCTGGCTCTGCACCCAGGAATCACTAGTGGCTCAGGGAACCATATGGGATGGCAGAGATCAAACCTGGGTCAGTCATGTGCAAGCAAGCACCCTATCTGCTGTATCATCATTCCAACCCCTCATAAAAAGCTTTATACAAGTTAAAAACTTTAAAATGAAAAAAATACAATATTCTAATATTTAAAATGTTTAAAACAAAGCAAAGCTCATCTGATCATAATGTTTCTTCATGTCTCTAGTAGACACACAAGAGAAACAATACACTGGTTAGTTTTTTTCGTTTACTTATATGTATTTATTGTGCAAGGCACTTTCTTAACTATTAAACATACGAAGTGAACAAAAGAGTCTCTGCCTTCCTAACCTGCCCTTCTAGAGGAGGAAAATAACTACTTACACAAATAACCGTACAAACAAAACTACTTGCTGATGGTCCTGTGCAGAGAACCGAAACAGGTGATATAACCGATAATAGCATTTTGTTTGTGAGATCAGGGAAAATTAAAAAGACATAAACTTTCAGCTGATGGTTGAATGATAAGGATCCAACTAAGAAAATGATGAGAGCTAAGGCAAAACTCCTGAGCAAAAATACACGTGCTGAATTGAGGAACTGAAAGAGTCCCTGTGTCTGGAGAGTACTGAGTAGGGAGTGGCATGAGGTGAAGACATTGCACCTTCCTTCAAGAACTTGTGAAACAGAATTCAGTAGACACAAATCTAGTTCTTAACACTTCTCTTTTGCCAAAAACCTTCAGAGAACTTCGAATTCTTAATAAAATGCAAAAGAGCGAAAGTTAAAAAAAATTCTTTTTCTTCTGAAAAAAAATTATGATACCACCTTTTTTCCACTTACAATTTCCATTGTAATCAGTGATTGAGTGGCAATGCTTGCCTCAGATAGCAAGTATTAATGCATATTCTGTAGATCAACCAATGTCAAGAAACTGAAGTTGTTCTACAAAATCAAGGTTGATGGGCCAGAAAGATAATTCAACAGACTGGAGTGCATGCTCTACAATAGGCCCAGGTTCAACGCCTGGCACCACATGATCCTCCAATCACAGAGCTGACTGAACCCTCCAAATACCACTGAGTATGACCAAACCCTCCCTCAAAAACAAAACAAAAAGAAGTAAGGCTTACTTATCCTTCCCAAACTCAAATTTTCCAGGTCCAACTCGAAGTAAAGAGCCATTGAGCCACTGAGGAAAATGTCCTTGTACTCGAGCTTTGATGAACTGTGGTGTCTCCTCCACTGTAGTGAACAGTGGTGTGATACATGGAAGGTTCCTCTGCTTACTGACGATGATTGCTTTCTGAGGGGTATTTTCCAGAAATTTCCACAAAACTGTGAAAATGAAATCAAAAGCATAGAGTCTAAATTAAATTATGTTGTGACAACAGGTCTGAAATTGAAGTTCAAAAGTCCCAAGAAGTAAAATTATGATGTAATAAGAAGCTAAAAACTGAACTTACCTCATATTTATTTTGGGTTCACGAGGCAGTACTTTTAACACAAATAAGAGGTGGTTAAATATATAATTAACTACTATATAAAATACAATTGTCTCATAAAACTTAACAGTAATATAGAAGTCTAAACAAGAAAATCTGGGGCTGGAGCGATAATACAGCGGGTAGGGCATTTGCCTTGCATGTGGCGACCCGGGTTCAATGCCCAGCATCCCCCGAGCACTGCCGAGTAATTCCCGAGTGCAGAGCCAGGAGTAACCCCTGAGCATCGCCATGTGTGACAAAAAAAAAAAAGTAAACAAGAAAATCTACCAAAGAGAAAAAAAAGAAAAAAACAAAAACAAGTTATTCTCTGAAGAAACATTTTATTCTTTCAACAAAATATTTTATACTATCCTATTTATTTCAAATCTTTCAACAAATAGTTTAGATAATTCAGAAGAAGAGCCAAATATCCTAGAATTCCAGTCTTGCAAGCACGCAGTCACAAGTTCAATCCCTGGTATCACCACATGTACAAGGTACAATACTGACATCTTTGCTGTTTGAGCCCAGTAGCTCGGCTATGATCCCTACTTCCTGCCTCAAATAATTCTAGCCATACTACAGCCATATTTGTGTGAGCACCACATTTGTGTGAGCACCACAACTAAAGGGACATAACCATGGCAACGACAACAAAAAAAATGCAAGCACCATGAACAGGAAGTATGGACCCTGATGAACACATGTGAGCACTACAGTAACTTCTCCCTCCCTGAAAGAAATACAACTGTAATGTGTATGAGCACAACTAAAGAGTGTGACCCCCAACATCCCATACGGTCCCCCAGTAGTGCCTGGAGTGCAGAACCAGGAGTAATCCCTGAGTATCACTGGCTGTGACCAAAAAAATGTAAAAAAAAGAAAAAAAGAGGATGATTTGAAAACTTAAGAAGTAAACTATCTTACTCTATACTTTTATTAATATTACACATATTAGACCAGAGAGATAGTACAGGAGCTAAAATGCTTGCTTGTAGATGGCCAACCCTACTCTGAATCCCAGTTCTGCATTTTGTCCCTTGAGCACACAGTCAGGAATATCCCGAGCACCATAAGTGTGGCCCAAAAACCAAAACCAAAAAACAACCCAAAATTGCACATATTTGACTCCTACATCCCACAGTCACCATCAAGTAAACTCATCCATTGGCCCAGCCTACTGATTCATAATTAAATCTCAGAAGATTTAGTCAAGGCGCTAAAATGTATAGGTACACAGGTCTCTCAATTGAAAACTCTGGGGGACCTTCAGGGGGAGGACAGGCTGAGTTCCCACACTGCTGAAGCCCCAGCAGCTGTGCCCACATCCTACAGCTGCCGCCATGCCAACGGCCCAGTTCCACTGCTTCTCAAGTAATCTCTGCAGACACTAAACTGACCAAAAATCCAAGCATACCAGTTTTCAGGCTAGCTGAAAAACTCTGGGGTCTTCTCAGTGTGGGGGCAGGCAACCTCCCCCCACCTCCCTCTACTTCCAGAAGCCCCAGCAATCACACGCACATCCCACAATCACTGTCATGTAAATTCATAGGCTCAGTTCTTATACATCCTAGAGCTTCTGGAAAACACAGCCACACATGCAGCCACACAGAACCTCCAAATTCCACAATAATGACATTACAGTAAGAGCACACCAAATTAGAGGGGAAAGTAATAAGGAAGTTGATTAAGCTCAATAAACAAAACAGAAGGCTCAACTAACAAAGAGCTTAGTGAATTACCAAGCAAGGACTTAATGACCCCATGGTGAGCTGTACCAATTTCCACAAATTTTCTTTTACTGTAGTATTTTTTATGTAGTCAGTCATTTAGTTGTAACAAGCAATATGAAATAAATTATTTTGTGCCCGCTAATATATCAGGTATGGAGGATGATTGGGAAATGGGGATGTGGTGGTACAAAGTTCACTCTGGTGATGGGACCAGCTGGAACATTGACTGCCCATACAACTTATTATGAACAACTCTGTAAACCAGTGTTTAAAGTAAAAATTAAAACAAAAATTAAAACTACCCTAAAGTTACACATATTTGTTTTATGGTATTAAATATATTTCTTACTCTCCTCATCTCCTCAAATTCCCTGGGAACAGAACCATGGCTCAGCTGTAAAGTACATACCTCGTCATGTGAAAGGTGTTGGGTTCATTCTTGGCATAAATAATAAATTGGAGGTTTGCCTGTACAGATTCATGAATTTAAAACCTTATGTTTTAGAAAATATTTAAATCTATTTAACTTATATTTCTAAAAAGCTGGCACCAATTTTAAATAAAATATACATGGACAGAAAATGTGGCTCAAAGTAAAGTGCGTGCCTTGCAAATAAGAGACCTAGATCCTACCACTAGCATCACAAAAATAGAGAGAAATGTGGTTCAGGGATGTAGGTCACCAGTAAAGCCCCTCCCTTGCATGCATGAAGCCCTGGGTTTGATCCCCAGCATAAAATAAACACTTGCACTGTAAAACCAAATAATGGATCAATAGCACAGCAGGTAGGGCATCTGCCTTGCACACGGCCGACACAGCCGACCCAAGTTTGATTCCTCCGCCCCTCTCAGAGAGCTCGGCAAGCTACTGAGAGTATCTCCCCTACGCAGCAAGGCCTGGCAAGCTACCCATGACATATTCAATATCCCAAACACAGTAACAACAAGTTTCACAATGGAGACATTACTGGGCCTGCTCAAGCAAATCAATGAACAACAGGAGGACAGTGACAGTGATAGTGATAGAAATGCTGTTTTCCTGACAAGTAAACAAATACTGTCTTCAACCCCAGCTCTGCAATGCTGTTTTCCTGACAAGTAAACAAATACTGTCTTCAACCCCAGCTCTGCAGTGTTGCTATCTGGTTTCGCTCAAGAGAGAACAGTTTAGAAGCCCTCAATAATTATTATCAGGGAAAGTGGCACAGAATTCTAAGTTATTAGTGATAAGAAGAGAAATATAAGGAAAACAAGTGGGCAAATCCCCTACCTGGGATCCGGTGTACTATCACAGAAAGGAAACCCAGTGCAATGGTAGGAATATTGCTGGCAAAATAAAGAAAGGCTTGAAAAAACATTTTTCATTTTAAATTCAAGAGGAGCAAAGTCTGTATTTCAAGTCCTCACACTTGCTGAGCGCTGTATTAACCACTATTCAGTAAACACTAACAGAACTTCCTGGGCTGTCGCAGGCTCAATGACAAAATAAACGGTGATTGGAGGTGAGAGATGAAAAGGGGAGGAACTTCAAAATACCTCCAATCTCTCAGTCTCCTTTTCATGACAAATATTCCAATAACCTACACGCAAAACAAAGCTGTTTGGAATACCAGAACTGCACAACCAGTAATTGTCTCCCTTCCTAAACGTTTCTCTGAATCTGTCCTCATGCTTTCCAGTTGATCCACTGCATCAATTTCATTAAGCGACTCCACTCCTCTGAAAGATTCAGCTCTTATAAAATCCAAATTTCATCTGCCAACAAGAAATTCTGCAATCTGACCACATCCCTTCATCCACTGCTCATGGTTTACACTCATTTAATTTACAAAGCACTTTCTTACAATCTGAGTAAGACTCTGAAAGCGTGATCTTAAAAGATTTGTAATCGGAGACATTTCATTTTGGAATTGCTTACATCTCCATTGAGAGTGTGATAATTCCAAACCATAATGTCCCAAAGTAGAGTATGGGGGAAACGGTCTTCCAGGGAGGCAGGGAGAAGGTGGAAAAAGGAAGGGGGTATACTGGGGAGAATGGTAGTGAGGAATGTGCACTGGTGGAGGGATAGGTGTTTGAACATTATATGATTGTAACTCAGACATCAAAGCTTGTAACTATCTCACAGTGATTCAATAAAAAAAATAAAAAGAGAGTGTGCTAATTCCTTTCTTTTACTTGGCTCTTTACTCTCCAGAAAAGCCCTCATTCTCTCTTGAATGTTAGTTTTTTCTTTCTTCCCTTTTAACTATTATTCTTCATTTCTAAAAAAGGTGTAACCATAATCTCATCAGTAAACATTTTATCAAACCATCAAATACTGTGCTACAAATTAAGGGTATCACAACAAGATTCAGTCATTGCTCTCCAGTTTTTTTTAAATTAAGGAATAATTGATATATACTAGTTTAAGTAAGTCTCTAGCAGTTTAGATGATATACTTCCATTCTTCATGAATTCTCAGACGAATAAAATGACAAATGTGTTTCTGTTCTTCTGTGCCTTTGAAAAAACTTCCCTGTCTGAAATATCCTTCCTCTTTCAAAAAAATACATTTCAAAATAGAAATGACTACTTCCCACTCCTGACTTCTAGTAACTTTAACTTGGAATTACCAGTATTGTCAAGAGATCTTTGAACTTTAAACAGAATGTCTTCTTACCAAAGACATGCAAGTTTATTTCAAGGAAAGAGTTGTTAAAATCATCAGAAGGGATAATAAAGTGTATGAGAAAGTCTGTATTTCCCACAGTGCCTACTCCACTCCAGTATGATATACAAAAATGTTCAATGTATTTTTTACTTTCAGTGAAAAAAAGATTACAAGCTTGTGAAATTTTATTAAAAGGAAATATATTAGATATGTAAATTAAAAGGCAGTTGAATTCTTCTAATAGTATAACTCCAATTGTGAAATAGTTATTCTTTATATAGATAGTACCAAAAGCCATAAAAAATGAATTTAAAAATGTCTTGATTAGGTTTTCAAGAACTTCCATATTAGGAGTTCTAGCTGTTCTGACCAGTAAATACGCTGTGACTCAATTCAGCTCTCTGGTTTATAAAATAAAATGATTACATCAATTCTCTGAACTGACTCAAAGAAGAACCATGTGCAAGAACATGGTGACACAAGACATAGTAAGTATATTATATAATCCAGCATAATCCAGCATGAAATAACCTGTTCATCTTATCTTTTACAGTTATTGGAAGAAATGCTTGTCTTTTTATAAAATTCAGAAATGCTTGTATTTTATTTAAAAAAAAGAAGCATTTTTGAATGGTTACAGAACCAATAGTTATATTTATAACAGCTCTGTATTAAATATAATTTTGTAGGTTAACAGAATGAATCAAAATCAATGTGGGATACCATATCAACTTAAATATAGTCTTCTAGTTTCACTTAGTGTTATAAATCTCATTTCTAATAGTTACTTCCTGGGCCCCTATCCTGGGTCTTAATTCCTCTATAAATAAAATTTTTTACACTTAATAACAGATTAAATATCTTATTGATTATGCTTTCATTTGTATGAGTGTTTGTTATGTGGTTTATATCCTTTAAACAATTAATTTGGAGAAAATAAAATAGTAATTTGGGATCAGAGAGATAGTACAGCAGGTAAGGTGCTACCTTGCACACAATTAACCCTAGTTCTACTCTCAATACAATATATGTCCTCTATACCACATTCATAGATTATGTATATTTCTTTAACAATTATATTTCATTGGATAGATACATTTATTTAAACATAACCCTCCCTAGCACATTGTTGAAGACCTGTATTGTTTAATCAGGGCGTTTTCTTTCCCATGGTTCTTCTGAGTAGCTATAAATGTAATCCTTCCATAAACTTTCTTTTGGGCTACACCCAGTATGTTCAGGGGGCACTCCTGGCACTGCTCAGATGACAATAATATGGTGTCAGAGATTGACCAAATGGGTCATATGCAAAGCAAGTAAGTACCTTACTCCCTGAGCTATCTTTCTGGCCCTCACAAACTTTTTTTTTTAATGCTTCTGTACTTTTTATTATTATTAAAAAATGTTTTAATAGTAAGTCATCATGAGGTACAGTTGCAGACTTACACATTTTTGTGCTTGGGTTTCAATTATACAATGATCAAATACCCATCCCTCCACCAGTGCCCATTTCCCACCACCACGGATCCCAGTATCCCACCCTGTCTCTGTGGCAGGGCATTCCCCTCTGTTCTCTCTCTCCTTTTGGGTGTTGTGGTTTGCAAAAGAGGAATTGAGTGTCAATCATGTTTGGTCTATAGTCTACTTTCAGCATGCTTCTCCCATCCTGGGAGGGTCCTCCCAACACCTTTATTTGGTGTTCCCCTCTTTATCTGAGCTCCCTTTTCCCTAGTATGTGTGGTTGGCCTCCAAGTCATGGAGTAAAATTCCTGGCACTAATCTCGGCCATTCTTGGGTGTTAGTTTCCTATTTTGTTACTTTATGTTCCCCAGATGAATGCAATCTTTCTATGTCTATCCCTTTCTTTCTGAGTCATTTCGCTTAACATAATACTTTCCATGTAGTACCACGTGTATGTAAATTTTGCTTCACAAACTTTTTAAAAGATATCTCGCCCACACGGCAGAGCCTGGCAAGCTACCCGTGACGTACTCAATATGCCAAACACAGTAACAACAAGTCTCATGATGGAGACATTACTAGGCCCGCTCGAGCAAATCGACGAACAACGGGAAAACCGTGACCGTGACCGTGACAATATGATCCGTGAGTGTAGAGCCAGGAGTAAGCCCTGAAGACAGCCAGGTGTAACCCCAAATGAAAAATAATAAAAAATTTAGAGGCTGGAGCAATAGTACAGCAGGTAAGGCATTTGTCTTGCACACACTCAATCCAGGTTCAATTCCTGGCACCTCATATGGTCCCCTAAACCCTTTGGCCCCCAGAACAAAAATAGATAAATAAAATTTTTTAAATAGCAATTTGATGAAATGAGATCTAAAATTTACAAGGCAATAAGGCAAACACGCTATTTGTCTATGAACACCCATGTGCTACTTACAAACATATCCAATACATGACTGCAAAAACATACATATAAAAATTTATATACTGTGATGTGATTTTAATCTAGTTATTTTTATATTAAACACTGAAAGTTTTTAATACAAATAATAGTAGTACTTACATTAAAAGAAGTTTTTCAGTTAGATGAACATTAGAAATCCTAAAGCCCAAGTTCAAATTCTGATTTATAATAGGATTGTAACCAACTCTGCCTACTGTTAACCCAATTTCTTTAAGTTTGAGCCACTAATCTTTCCTTATAGAAAACTACTGTTAAGGCTTCTGAATATAACTAATTGCACTATTTATGTGGAAGATGTGTGAAAAAGCCAGCTCCTGTAAGGTTGTGATTAATAATTTCTGGGTTTCATTTTATCACATTTACCACAAGAAATTGCAGGGTCAGAAGAGTGATTAGGGTGAACACTTGTCATGCACCTGCCCTAGGTTCAACCCCTGGAATATTGTCCAATGAACATCACCAGGTACAGTCCTGCAAGACCCCACACAACATCCAGGTAATCTCTGGCACTGCAGGCCTTGAGCAGTATCACATCCTTGAGCACCTGTACTGAACTACAGGCCTGGGAGGCCAGTGGTATCCCCCATATCTTCAGAGCACTGTGTGGGAGGCTAGCCCCCGCAAAAGTAATTGTATACCAAGATTTTTTTATTATCTATGTATAACAACTTATAATGAATAGGGTAGTAGTATTTTATAGTAATATCACATGGCAATGTTAAATATCATCATAGTACACAGTAATATTACATGAATGAGAAAAGAACAAGTTACCTTTAAGGTTTTGACTTTTTTATACAGTACAAAACCATAAAAAACATTTTAAAATAATCTCCAAAACTATCTGCAATTTAAACCATATTCTAAAAGAAAAAGTGTGACATTGTTCAATATTATCAAATTAACCCTTTAGGTCCCCTTTTAGTGATTTAAGACTAGCAGACTTAAGGAAAAGATTCCATAAATAATTTAAGCAATTCACACCTTTACAAAATATGCAAAGTATCTAAACCTCAAAAGAAAAGCTACATATTTCATATTAATGTACTACTTAAAGTCTTTTAAAATCTAGAAAATAAACTCAAGAGTTTCCCTTTCTGTACTTAAAGTATACATCTTAATAACAAGAGCTTTCAAACATAAATGACATACTTTAATTACAATAATAGGCTTAAATTCTCAGTTCAAGTACAGTTTGATCTTTGCAATGTATTTGCAATTACTGTAAACTTCTGTTTCAAGAATTCTCTTTTTTGTATTAGAAAGTTTTCAAGAACATTCGCTTCTTTGAAGAGTCCATCTATCTCGTCAATATAAGCTGCATCTACTGCTGCTCTCTCAC